ACTGCAGCCTCTTGGACGGCGGCGGCAGATGCAGACGTCGGCGGACTTCGAGGTCAGCGGCTGAGAGCGGCGGCGACAAAGGCAGAAGCAGAAGGGAGCAGTCGATGTGAATCGGCTGGCCATGGAGGTGTTAGGCTCGTAACCTCTTGAAGGTAATATGGAAAGTGAATGAATTAAGTCCGGTGATCAAGCCATGTTCTACACCTTTTCCCGGCCAAGTTGAAAGATTTTTCCATCCAAGGTAATAATTTGACGTTTGAAACGATATTTATAAAACGATTGGTGTAAAAAACACACCATTTTCCATTATAACATGAATTTTTCTCATTCAATATGAAATGCCTACTGACCATACACCATGTTCTCCAATTGGAGAGCCTTTTCGAAATTCCGCTGACAGAACAGGACCTCACGGATCACCAAAGGTTGAGTGATGCACGAAATCGACTCCTGGGCTGCGTCCTCAAGTAAGATCATCCACGTTCTAACATAGCGTCTGTGTGAAGAGCAAGGTAGCTCTACACGCGGGCCTTGAACACGCTGAAGCAGCTCTCGATCGGATTCAGCATGGGCGAGTAGGGTCCAAGGCGCAGCAAGCTCATGTCATCGTGTTGGACAACACGACTTTCCGTTTGCGAATGGGCTGGCGCGTTGTCCAACCCAATGACAATGCACTTGCCAGCAAAGTGATCCCGCCACGCGTCCGACCTCTTGACCGACTGGTACACATCTTCTACGAATTCCGCGTTCTGCTCCATCTTGATACTTCCGCCCTCCAACTTGTAGCAGACAAGGCCCTGCTCCGCGGGCACGTCACATTGAACTTGAAAGTTCGGCCCCTTGGATGGTGGCAGAACAACCGTTACTCGCTTTCCCTTTTTGGCACGCCCGAAGCTCCGCTTGCAGTAGAGATTGAAGTTGGTTTCGTCGTAATAGACAATATAGTCTCCATTGAATTGGTGCTGCTTAAGCTTCAGAGCAAATTCACGCCGCTTTTGCTTGTTGACGTCGTTGTTGCATGTCGCGGGCTCAATGCGCACTTGTTTTACTGTGTAAAGCATGCCCAAAATGTGGCGGCTTATCGTATGGACCGAGATGTTCGTGCCGTTGAAATCCGCCTCAATGAAACTTTTCATTTCGCGCAAGGTATATTGACAGTTTTCGTCTAGGTACTGTTCGAGCGCATCGCGGATCTCCGCGGTGACCTTCTTCTGCCCCGTGCGAACGCCCCCTCGTGGCAGCAGCGTCGTTCGACCAGAGTTGACAACCCTCCATGCTGTG